GGGGGATCAGGTAGTTGATGTGACAATGGGGGGCTGCTGTAGTATCAAGGATTGCGGGTGATAGATGGTTAAAAACCAAACTCAATTTGAGACATCGGTTGAGGTCAGCAGGTCATGTGTATGGTGAGGGCTCAATCGCGCCAGCGCGTGCGGGCGCTGGTGTACGTTGCGTAGGGTCATTGAGGGGCGCTGTAGTGCGTTGTTTCAATGCATTGTGCTCTTGAGTTGCACTGCGTAAAAATGCATGCATGCTTCACACTACAGCACATGTATGATGAGCCCGAGCTGCATTGATCTGCATAGGTAGATGCAAGCTCAGCACAAGGCTACATAGAGTGGAAGTCTATTGTTTTCTATATGTCCAGGTCACACCATTAATGATGACCCCGGGGGTCAATCGGTTGCAGCAAGTGCATTCGCCACACCGCCAGTTATACTGCACAAAGGGCCAGGGAATGCTCCCCGCCGCAGCTCAAAAGTAGTAGTTCATATTGACTGAATATTACAGCCGCACTTATCCTGGGAGAGGGAGACTAGAATGAGGGAGCAAACAGGTGTGCTGCATGCTTAGTGCTGACAAGGAACATGCTGATAGGAGGAGAAAGCAGAGTAAACAGAGAGATGAGCTCATCAGTCTTCTGCTGCTCCTTCATTATCCAATCACAGTCTTGGGGGAAGGTGACCCTGCTGTAGTGTTTAAAGTGACACTAAACTCCGGAGTTAAATCTTAAAAACACATTCAGGCACCTTAACTATGAACAGCAATGTATCTTATTTGTGTATTACTCGGCTGCAGATCCTCCAATCATCTCTAAATTGGTGCTGACTAGGGGTGAGCCGAACACCCCTGTGTTCGGTTCTAATTCGAACATGGAAAAAGTTCTAACTCGAACTTAGAACTCAATGCAAGTCTATGGGGGTAGAACTCAGAAATTTAAATGTCCCCATTTTGAAGCCTTATATGCAATTTATTGGCCATAAAAAGTGTATGGGGATCCGGGTACTGCCCTGGGGGACATGTATCAATGAAAAAAACACTTTTAAAAAATACAATTTTTAAAGGAGCAGTGATTTAACATCACTTAAAATGAAACATTAAAAATGAAAAATTCCTATAAATATGGTGCCTGGGGGGAGACATCCCATAATGTTCGGCGAACGCTAGAACATGCAATGTTCGAGTCGAACCTATGGTCGACTCGTACATGCAGCCCATCCTTAGTGCTGACACTGTCCTTCCTTCTGGAGGGGGGCTACTTATGTTCCCCATGGTCCCTGTGTGTGATGTAGAGTAGTCACCGCCCCAAGCTCACTCCCAGGATGGGCTACAATCTCAATTAGGAATGCACCGATATCGGTTTTTCGGTATCGAGTGCGAGTACCGATGGTTTTTTTTCCGGTACTCGCCGATACCGAGTATCGGTGCCGTGTGCCCCGATTATCAGGAAGTCGGGCGCCGCATCATGACCCGTCGCCCTGCTTCCTGATTGCCTCTGCAGTCGCTGTTCTAATCAAAAGAACATCGGCTTCACTTCCTGAGGCTGCCTGGCTTTCTGACCAATCAAAAGTCATGAGGTGCCATCCGGCTTCCTGATTGGTCAGGAAGCCAGGCTGCCTAGCAACAAGTGAAGCCGGCTTCCTAGCCAATCAGGAAACCGGGGGCACGTCATGACCCGCCTCCCGGCTTCCTGATTGGGAAGGAAGCCAGCTTCATGCTCCATCGGCACTGCCGGTCAGGGGGTGGTCTCCCTCTGACTGGTATCGGAGGTAAGTATCGGAGCATTTGGGCGAGTATGAGTATGGGAAAATCAGGTCAGCAACCTGGCTGCACTGTCTGGCAAGTTTGTGTAAATCTCAGGAATGGATAGACAGATATACAAATCCTTTGGCAGGTATAACAGCCCCTACGTATGAAGCTCATCTGTGTATTAGGCTGTGTGGCTGGATTTCAGCTTTAAAGATTTTTCTGGTGGCATTGCTCTACTGTAACGGAGACTTTGCTAGTAATTCATGTGATTTTTATCTCAGAGAAGCAAATAAAAATGTCATGTTCCTTAAGAGCGCCGTCTGATGTCTGCTGGTAGCCTAACTAGAGAATGACCCGGCATTCAATATTATGTGAAACTGCATAGTTAAAGGGGCAGTCCACTAAAATGTATGTTTCTGTGTTTGGTAGGAGAGATATACAGATACATACATGCTCCCCTCCTCCTCCTCTTCAGGGAGAACCAGCATCATCTTAAAGTCACCCTATCATTAGATGAACAATTAGACCTGGTACTGCACCTGCCTCCCCACCGGCACTGCCTATCTTCTGTCTCTTGACAGAGTCACTTTACCTAATAGATTAAAACACAGGCACTAAGAAAAGCATAAGGTGCATTACGGGCTGGTCATCGGGCATACCCGGTGGGCCAAGGTGAGCCAGGTCACACAGAATCAGGCAGTGGCGCCTTCCTAATCAGGCAATCTAGGTGGCCGCGAGGCCTCACGAGCGGCTGCCTAATAAGAGAGCTGCCCGGTAGAGGAGTGTAGGGCCCAGTGAGATGCGGTCCGGCCAGCCAGCAGGAGGTGGAGGAGAAGCAGCGGGCAGCTCAGGGCTGGCATGCAATCTGAGGGATGTCCTGGAGGCAGGCTGGGCACTTCAGGCTGCGGGTAAGTGGAGCAGCACATGTGTGATGGGAAAAAGACCCCGCAGAGCCCACCATAGACCCTGCGCAGCCCACTATAGACCCCGCACAACCCACTATAGACCCCGCACAGCCCACTTAACCTAAGACCCCGCACAGCCCACCACCATAGACCCCGCACAGCCCACCATAGACCCCGCACAGCCCACCATAGACCCCGTACAGCCCATCTGGGATGCTGGTGATACAGGGCGCGCCTGTTACAATTTAAATAGGCACTTGCTGTATCCAGGGACTGATAGGTTAGGCAAAATGTCTTAAACAGTTAGCGGTGGTGGCAAATTTAGATTAGGGGGATTGCCGGAGTTTAGCCTTGCCTAGGGCAGCACAAAACCAAAATTCACCACTGGTTGTAACATCTACATATAATAGAGAATAGTGATTCCATACCTCTAATATATATTATTTGTTTCAAAGACAACAAATTCAGTCCACTGAAATCTAAAAAAAAATGCTTTGTAGCAATATCCCAAATCGATTGTTTTTGCATTTTTATCCACAGTGATGATTTTTTCTTCTATTTTGCAGGTATAGCTCTAAATAAGTGCAGAATGAAGACATTTTTCTATCCATCTGCTTAACTGACCACCCTCCAAAGATGTCTGGCCAAGATGTCCCCAGCCAATTATGTCGAGAGGCCAACCAACATCTTACCCAAGAAGAATTCTCATTGGCCGCTGCGTTCTTTATGGCAGCATTTAGCTGTAATGCGCCCATTGCTCTTCAGAGAGTCAAGTCTCTGGATGATGAACAGCACCAGGAAATGATCAATACTCTGGAGAAATGGTGCTTAGGGGATGCTGAAATACCAAAAATAAAGTGTGATGGCATGGCCATTGTATCACTCAATCCTGGGATTGCGGCGGTGTTCCTTTCTACGATCTGCCCAAACAATATTGCGTCCTCTTTGTTTAAAATGGGCACGTTCCTTAGAACGGGTCGCTACGAAGATGTGGTGAGCAGGTGCAACTCGTTACTGAACACCCACCCCCAGCATTCCTCCAAACTTTTGTTGACCCGAGGTCTGGCGTGGATTTTGTCTCAAACCTACTCAAGAAACGGGGTTGTTGATTACATTCAAGTGTTCACCAAGTACAAGGACGAGGCCAGGCAATATATCTGCACAAAGCAAAGAGAATATTTGCCTCAAGTCATTCGTGCTTTCCATGACTACATTTCCTCTTATGAAAACAATAACACGGAAGGAAATATTAAAGTTGTGCTCCATGATTGTTACAGTTTTCTGGCCGCGTTGGCTCCCGATGACCTCCAGATATGTAAGACTCAAGCAGCTTACTTATTTGAGGAATGTAAATTTGAAGAATGTATAGCCGTGTATTCTAGAGCCATCGAGGCCTTGTCTTTAGAAACCAAGATCAAAGAGGAGAAGATATCTTGTCTTCTGGTAGATCGGGCTGCAGCCTACTATTCTTTGGGTTGTAGGACAAAAGAAATGGTACAGGACTTGGCCCAGGCCTTCAGGGTCAGCCCAGCTCATGCCAGGAAAAGGTTCACAGAGATCTTTTCCAGTGCAGATGTTGCAAGGGTGATGGAGCGTTCCAAGGCTTGTATTGAAATGGAATTTGGAGACTTCCGAGAAGCTGTTCGCGCTCATACAGAGCTCAGATCTGACATTGGTACGGACCTCCTTCTACCGATCATGCAAGCTTTGCAGTTTTTAATTCAGTGCTGCCCAGAGAGCAGGCGTGAAATGAACATCCGTTTGGCAGACTGCAAACTTTTAGCCGGGGACTTCCGAACCTGCTTGGACATCTGCAACCAGCTGATTAACTCCGAGAAGAAGACCTATCAGAACACCTTATACGTTCTACGAGGCTTTTGTCTCTTCCACCTCAATGAACACCAGCAGGCCTTGAAGGACTTTCAGAATATTATAGAGGATGAGTCACCTCATCCGTCCAGTTGCATCAAAGCTCTTTGCGGGAGAGGACTGGTCCGAATGGTAAGTGGTAGCACGTATCTGACCGCCCTAGACTACATTACAGCCTGCAAACTTAAACTGGATGAGACTTTCCTTACCACTAAAACCTATGTGCCATGGAACCAAAGAGGTCTTCTCTATAAAGTGTTGCAGGAAGAAGGTGAGAAGGTGCTACAAAAGAAGCCCTCCGGTGACTCCGGTCGTAACCTCAGTAGGAAAAAGACAGGAGAGAAAGATGGAGCTTCATCCAAGGAATGGTAATATTCTATAAATATGCTACAATTCTATTACAGGCAATTTATGGTAAGTTTAAAGTTGACTTATAATCGTATCCACATAAAAAAGTTCAGTTAGTTGTTTGACTGTTTAGCTTGTCTGGTCCTCCTTTCAATGAAGACTGTGATACCTTCGGATATGGACAGCAATGGGGGGAGCATAGAGCAGCTCCTAAACAAACTATTTCAACCATGTTATTATACTTTAAATATTCCAGCAAGACAATTTATATAACTCTATTGACATTTGTTTATTAAAGATACTCAGTCACTTAGCCCATTGAGGAATGCTTTGCCTTGCCCCCTCTACGCCATTTCTCTAATGGAGGGAAGAGTCCAAACCATGTGCAAGCCATGTAGGATGGAGAAAGAGCTTACACAGGGTTATCAACATCACCATCAACTTCACGTGATCATGTTTGGTCCCTGCGATTGGTGGCTCAGGCCTCAGCACTGTAACCTGGGAAGAAGGGGAAGAGGTATTTACTGAAGCTCCAACAGTGGGCAGTGAGGTAGTGGTGACATTAAGGGGGTGGGGGTTGTTCTTTTAACAGTCTCTGTCATTCGCCCTAAATTGACAAATCGACAGAGTGTCATTAACGTTTAAATATGGGTCCACCTAAGAGTTTCAGCCACCTTGCATATACAACTTGGTCAGAAGTATGAATTATTGTGCCACTGATATGTGGCACCATATGTACAGTACGTTTTACATAAAAAAGCGCCTGCACCTTTTTTTTTGGGTAAAAAGGGCATGCCCAGTTGGCGCAAGTGTTTGGGACTTTCCAGGACAGAAGTACAGGCACTGTTATAAAACCTGAACCAACACTCCACCCCTGCTGAAATCACAACAGTCCATAGTGTTACTGAGGGGATAGTGCAGGCAAATGGAAACCCCTTACATATATCTGTCTGTCGGGGTGTTCTGTTTGGGGTGTAAGTTGTAGGAGTTTTCACATTTCCTACACCTGTGCTGTTGTATTTTTGAACTTTTTTTATCACACTGCAAGTATATAAAGTCTATCAAAAGACTTTCCTCCAAAAACGGGAACTGTAGGTTCCGGGAGACTCAGGTGTCTCTCTGAGAACAATGAATGGGATATATATGCCCACCCTAGAAAGCAGCAGATCCCTAGGCTATGTACTGTGGTTGATGGAATACCAGTTTGTTGTCCATTAACAGATATATACTTTACAATAATAGCTCAAATTTAGAACTTACTGAAACATTGTTTCCTTTAAGAAACTATGACAGCATACCGTGTGGGTCTTCTATCTATGTGCCCCATGGT